TGTGATGAATGATGCTCAACAAGCAACTCTGTCATGTAAAACTGATGAAGCCAGTGCGTGTACTCTTTTGCCAGCTGCAAAAATTGATGTGTTGGTCCTGGTGGTCAGAAAGTGCAAGCCACTGCCATTTTGGACAGAAGCTCCACATCACGTCGGGCAGAGGCATGGCTTCCACAATCAAGGACGTTCTGCTGAGGTATGGGATCCCCTTCGATAGGCTCAGAGGCATGTCTTTCGATGGGGCAACGAACATGGCCGCCTATTAAAAAGGCGCCCAGGCTGTTCTCAGGCAAGAACAGCCATACGCCGTCTTCGTTCACTGCGGCGCACACTGTGTGAACCTCGCCGGCAAGGACGCTTTCGGTGATTCCATGCTGTTCACCCACGCACAGTCCGTCCTGAAAGTGCCACGCATCGGTGCGATGGACCCATCAAGCCCGACTGAGGAATGGTTGCTTAATTTGAGAGTCACTTAACCAATTGACCTGGCGGTGGAAGAGGCTGTCAATTGGTTCGGTGATTCTCAAATTTAGCAGCCCTTCCTTGGTCGACTGAATGCACAGCAAACAGTGAACGAGGGGTCGGGATGCTCTTTTCCGACCACAGGGAGAACACAAAATGACACGATCACCGACAAAGACGTTCAAACAAGTACGATTCACACGCCTAAATCGAATAAACTACCAAACACAAACGGCCGTTATGTGCGAGTTACGAGGCTCATATTCACAAAGCAAAACACGAATGAAGAGTGAGTGCGTCGGTTAGCACGTACAGTCTGTCTTAAAAGTACCGCGCAAAGTGACGGTGGATCCATCAAGCCTGACCGATGAAGGACTGCTAAATTTGAGTCACCCCGAAACAATGGACAATGGACATCCTCGTCCCTTCCCCAGGTCAATTGGTTCGGTGACTTTCAAATTATAGCAGGCCCTTCCTCGGTCAGGCTTGATGGATCCACCGTAACTTTGCGCGGTACTTTTAAGACAGACTGTACACGCACAACATCCTTCCTTACTTTAACTGGTTCGGGGGCTCTGGTTGGTCAGTCCTTCGTCAGCCAGCGTCATGGCCAGACCAGAAGCCATCCTGGAGCTTGAAGCGATCCTGCGGAGCTGACTATGTCAGCTTCGTCCCGCATTGCATTTTAGAAATAGACCTCCGGGAATTATCTGGTGAAGACGAGGAGGGGCGGGAGCAAGTACTTGCTCGGCAGCTGCCCACTATCGACCGCAACCACCAAAACGATCCGGAGGCGCAGAGGTACGTAGCTAGTTTGTTTCTTGTTTGTGTCATGCTGATGTTTGTGTCTGCTGCTCCTCTCACTCAGCTTAACACAGTCTAGCTGACGATATTTCTTCTGAGTTCAGAATCCTGCGAGTCAGCGCCGAAGTCCTCGCCGCCCGGTGGGCCACATACCGGGCTTGGCTTGACTCTGACGGTGGGGCGGCCCAGATGTTGCGGCTTGTCTGGGCCCGTCTCCATTTGGGTTCTGGCTCAACGATGCCCTCCGTTACGACCTGGCCGCGGCGGCGGCTCGGCTCTCGCCACTGCCGGGGCGCCAAGCGGCTCTGGAAGCGGAGATTTTCGCCGCCGACGCCCTGCTGGCAGAAGAACGAACCCATACCGCCGCGGCCGCAGCGGAACTCCGCGCCTCAGCAGCTGAAGTGGTCTGGCTACGAGACCGGCAGCAGGAGGCGGAGGCTCGGGCAGCGTATAGCGCCCGGCTCCATGAAGAGGCGGACCGGCGGGCGGGCGCGGCGGAGGCCGAGCTCGCGGCCCTCCGCGCCGAGTGTGGCGGCGCGCGGCGCTCAGCCCGCAGGGCCCGCCGCGCGAAAGTGGCGAAAGTGGCCACCCGCCGCCGTTTTGAGCTGTACGGCGCGGACTCGGCCGTCAGGCCCGGGGAACACTTGCAGCACGCGCGCCAGCGCCCAGTGACCTCGGGGCGTGTCAGACTCTGCTAATAGCACTACGTCGCCGACTGTTAGGTTCCGTTGGTCAGCTTGCCATTTTTTCCTGTGGATCAGGGTATGGAGGTACTCCCTTTTCCATCTTCTCCAGAATCCAGAAAAGCTCCGCTGCTGACGAGGAACTAGACAAAATGCAGAAGGACTGGTGGACAACTGAATCCTTCGGAGCCAAGTATGAACGGTCAGTGTCACAGTCGAAAGAAGACCGTCGAGCGCAAGAGCTTCTAGAGTCAACAACCACCAAGTTAACCGGCAACCGTTACGAGACTGGCCTCCTCTGGAAGACTGACGACGACACGCTGTTTCCAGACAACAAGGTGATGGCTACAAAGAGACTACACGGCACCGATAGGCGTCTGGTAAACGATGAAGAGAAAGCGCAGCTTACCAGGCCACGATCGATGCATATGTAAAAAAGGGCCACGCCAGAAAGCTGTCCAGGGAGGAGGCACAGCTCCGGCTGCCCAGACGCTGGTTCCTACCACACCATGCCGTGACTAATCCCAATAAGCCAGGCCGCTTCAGGATAGTCTTCGATGCGGCAGCCAGATCGTACGGAACATCGCTGAATGACAAACTCCTGACCGGACCAGACCTGCTGAAGAACCTCACCGGCGTCCTGCTCCGTTTCCGAGAAGAAAAAGTCGGCATGGTGGCAGACATCCAAGAAATGTACCACCAGGTCCGTGTCATCGAGAAGGACCGACCTGCGCTCAGCTTCCTGTGGCGCGACCTGGATCAAACTAGAGAACCAGACATCTATGAGATGCAGGTGACCATCTTCGGCGCCAAATCGTCTCCAGCGTCTGCCAACTACGTCCTCCAAAGAACAGTCGCGGACCATGGAGAAGACTGCGGGCTACCAAAGAAGGCCGTGGAAACTGTGAAGAACAGTTTCTACATGGACGACTTCTTACGATCAGAAGAACATGAAGATGATGCATTGAAGACGACGAAGCAGGTGACAGAGACACTCTCCCGAGGCGGCTTCCATCTATCCAAGTGGGTAAGCAACTCGAGGCGCGTCCTGGAGAGCATTCCCCGAGAGAAGCGCGCCCAGCCGGAACTAGACCTCACAGAAGCGGAGCTGCCCACACAAGGTGCCTTGGGAGTGGTTTGGGATGCTGAAAAGGACAGTCTGAGCTTCAGATTCCGAGACTCAAGCGTCCCGATGACAAAGCGGGGAGTCCTCCAAAGGACTGCGTCGATCTTCGATCGTCTGGGGATCGCCGCGCCTTTCGTCATCAGAGCCAAAATGTTCATGCAGCAGCTCTGGACCAAGCAACTGGACTGGGACGAGCTGGATCGTGAGGAGCAGAAAGAATGGGAAGAATGGCTCCAAGAACTGCCAGCACTGAGAAACATCAGTGTCTCACGCTGCCTCCGTCCAACATCAAGTGACACAATTGCGCGCGAGCTTCATGTCTTCTGCGACGCATCAGAGGGAGCGTTCGGAGCAGTCGCTTATCTCCGTACGACCTCACCAGACAGCACGCATCACTGCTCGTTCATCATGAGCAAGACACGAGTTGCACCGCTGAAGAGACTGTTGACAAGCGGCAACGCGGAACACCAAGCTCGAGAGGACGGTACTAGTGTAAAAGTGCTCATTAAACGCTTTTCCAAGAAAACCTGTGCTTTTATCATGCCGGACTCCGCGTGGTGAGAGCACGCGTTCCCGGTTACAACAGTCCGAGTTAGAAGCGCGACGGGCGCTCGGTGTTTATGAGGCTACTAACGGGTATGGCTGCGGTTGGTGGCAGGCCGAAGTCAGTGAGAGGACCGGCCGCATGCTGCTATGTGCGTTCGATAAACTTGAAACTAAACAATGCTGTCATAGGCCAGGGTCCGGGTCATATAGAGCCCCTTTACTGGCTTTGCGGTAAAGTGATACTTCTTGGAAAGAGCAGCCTGACAGATGGGTTCATATAGCCATCCTTGTACATTTCACCAAAGTTTCCAAAAGTGTCACTTTAGCAAAAGTGAAACTAGCAAAAGGGCTTTTCTACAATGCAAATACAATAACACAATCGTACACAATAATGACTTTAAGCAAGTCAGACCAATCGCTGTTGGTTGCACATATATCCAGTCATGCACCGAATGAAGCTGCGGGACACTGATGTCTCCCGCGCTACATACCGACGTCGGCACCACCTGACGAATAATATTTTGCGCTCAAAGTTCCACCAAGCGCCCACTGTCATCCAAGCCTTTAACCTCGACCCTGTCTTCCTGGGGCGGGATGACGTCCACCCCTGGCAAATGGGATGGAGAGCCCTGGCAGGATCCCTAGCTGCCCTCGGCTAAGTAAAAGATCGAGTTACTTAGAGTTACCGAGTTAGCATCGAGTTAGTATACACTAAATGACTTTACGCAAGTCAGACGGTGGTGTAAGACCAATCGCTGTTGGTTGCGCCTACCGTAGGCTAGCGGCCGGGCTCGCCCTGAGGCCCGCAGGGCTGAAGTGGGCGAAAAGCTGAGGCCCACGCAGCTGGGATACGGTACGCCGGGAGGATGTGAGACAGCTGCCCATGCAACACGGGCTTTCGGTCGCGCGCTCGAAACAGAAAGTGACATGGTGAAAATTGACTGAAGAATGCCTTCAACACGGTTCGCCGCGGGCATTTTCTGCGCCGAGTAAGGGAGAGTGCGCCATCAATATACCGCCTGCTATGGCATGCTTGCAGTGAGCCCTCACTGTAAAGCAGTGTCCCTGATCCGAGAGCTTGGCGCGTTTGAGCACTCCGTCGGGAGAAAAATGGAGGGCATAGTGGCTCTGACAACGGCTGTCAATTGCCGCAATGCAGGGAAACGCCCCCTCCGTCCTACGCCCGTCCTACTGACATACAAATTGTATATGAGCTAGGCTCAGGAATCGCGCGATCGGAGGGAAGAGGGCAAATGCAACAAGCTCTGCTTAGCGGGGCTCTGTCCTCGTGAATGCTAACACGTAAACAGGTTCAGATATAATTATTTTTTAATATCGCGAAAACCATGTTTAACTAAATTAATGGTGAAATTGCAAACACCGTGACGACCTCTTATATTATCCCAATTCAAGCAACGCAAGTGTCCGCAAGGGTACTAAAACTAACCAGAACATAAGAACGGCTCTCTTGTAAAATGTTAAAAATGTCACCTACGATATCGATTTCCTTTTCACGGCAGCATAGGTATTACCAAATTAACGCCGGATCACACTGGTTGTGCAGTAAAAGCAGATGTTGAGATGTTCTGGCTGAACAGCACTTATTACATAGGCACTAACAGATTTACAACTAACATATTTTCATGTATGACTGGAGTTGCTGCCATACTGTAGTGAGTTATGTAAATATGTAGCAGCAGTCACGTTTCAAACCGGAACTACGAAGTGCCCTCTGTGTTCAGTCTGACTTAAGTCAAAAGTCCTGAGTTGAGCACATGTGAGTTTAACATACTCTGTGCCGGTGACAGATATCAATTGCATCCCACTCATCAAATTACTAGTAGATTCACAAAAAGTCACCCTAATTTTTCGAAACAGATAAGTATTTTAATTGTTCCTTCCATGCCCCATTGCGAATCCTTCAATACACTACAAAGGGACACATCGAAACAAATGTAAAAATACCCAATCCCTAAAACGAGTTCACTCTACCCTACCACTATACCATTCGGTATATTCGTAAAGTCTCTGGTCAATTTATCACCACCGCGGCACTTCACTGTAGACTACAGATATTTAGACTCTCTGATCCGTAGACTAATCCGTAGACTCGCATAATTGCAGGCTGTCTAATTTGAAGACCATCACCGCAAACAATCCCTCATCTGAGCCAGATTCCGAGAAAAGACTAAGGACTAACCGCTATGGTGTCTGTTTTCCGCTCGCCAACTCGCTCCGACTCCGTCTGTGGTACTGCTAGTGGCTCCTGAAAAACAGAAGACGCACAGAGCGGGTCAGGCATAGGCGGTGGAACGGGGGGGGGGGGGGGGGCTCCCAAAATAGTATTTCAGCTTGGTTGTCAGAGGGGAAATTACTCTTCAACAGGGCGAATGAGAGTGGTGGGGGGGGGGGGGGCGGGGGGCGGACTTAAGTGGTCATCGGCGAGGGAATGAGAGTGGAAAGTCGCCTCGTCAGTCAGATAACCCCAAAAGGAGAGGAATAAGGATCAATATAGCATTAATTTCTATGCAAGTGTGGTAAATGTAGGACGTAAAACGACCAGCCATGCAGATGCTTTTCTAGGTAAAATTGGGAGTGGTAAATTGCTCTTAAAAGCAGCTAGAGATGATCGTGCAAAATAATTTTCATTTGGATGTCGTTTCCAACCCAAATCAGCAAAATTGAGACACTCGAGACAGGTAATGCCGATTTCATCGCGGCTGGGATCAGTAGTGTCTTTGCATTTTGTTACAAATAATGTTAGGTTTTTTTCTCGAAATTGCCAGAACTGTATCACAAATTACTATCATGAAGGCCGATATTCCATCTCTGGCTCAGTCAGATAAAAAATGTACACAATCAAGAGAAGCAGCACAAATCAACAATACGATGATGCAATCCTGCGAGCGAAGGAACAATTATCCGCGATACCCAGTCCACGGTAGGGAGGAGATGAACCTTCGGGCCTCGAGTCAACCTACCTGGGTCGGTGGTTACGCCTCCTTCTGACGTAGCTTCTCCACCAGGAGCCGGGCCGCTCCGGTAGCCGACTCCAGACACCCGTCCATGTTGGAGCGGTTGAACACATCACCGGCGGCCACTACCAGGGGCTGCTCACTGAGCACCACGTGGCCGGGACGGCCCGGGAACGGCTCCGTCACCTGAGCGGGGTCAGATGGGGTCAGAATATGGGGTCAGATGGGGTCAGTATAGGGTCAGATGGGGTCAGTATCAGGTCAGTAAGGAGTCAGTATGGGGTCAAAATATCGCGTCATAATATCGGGTCAGACTGAGTCAGATCGCTGAGTAAGACACTGTCAGATGAATTGTGTTTCCTATGGTTAATGACTTAGTTCTTCTCACTTGGTTAGGATGAGTCAGCAGCGATTATGGCTCAGATAATGTCGTAAAGGGTCAAGTGTGTCACGCGGTCAAATGGGTCAGTGCCTAACCTATTTCGACCACGACTCAATACAATTCGCCTCACATTCACCAGTCGTACCTGCGAATAGCGCCACTTCTGGCATTTGACCGAGGTGGGCGCCGGCCAATCAGGGAACAGCTCTGTGACGTGGCGCTCCAGGATTGGCTGCACCTCGGCGGGCGTCTTCTCGACGTGCTCCTCCCCGAACTGGACGCTGGTGTGGACCACCACCGAACTGGGACCGGAGGCTGGCGGGCAGAGGCGACCGGTCAGAACCTATAGAACGAATTTATTTATTTTCGTTTATTTCAAAAAATCGCCGACGGAATTACCCATTGAGTGACGAAATCAATATTTAAAACGGAATAATGTGAATCTAGGAAATTCACCATAGGAAATTCACCATAAATCTAGTGACACTGACTTCCTGTACTAAAATAAAAAAAAACACGAAGAGTGAGTAGTCCAATAAAGAGGAGTTATTAATAAGCTATGAGATTTGTAGCAAATCTATTCCTCGCGATTTTCGTCTGATGTCACACCACGAATGCACAGTCTCGCGCACGGCAGCCCCGTCCGTGCCCCACTGGCTCTGCCCGCAGCCCGCCCACCCGCCGGCGCCAACGTCGGCCATCCGACCTCGCAGCATCTCATCGCCAGCTGATGATGGCTCGGTAGCACTCCCCCTCAGCCCAGCCCCAACTGCACCAGCCCCGCCACGTACTGTACACGTACACATGCACGCTACAGCTACAGAGATGATGTACAGTCAATGAACCTTCAACCAGCTTAACTAACGCTCAAGTGATTGCTAGTGATCCACCGACCTCGGATGACTTTCAATAACCCCCACGTCATCCCATAATTGCCTGATTGAACTCGCAATTACACTTAACAGACCACAACCAAGCTTAACAGCAACGACAACTCTCCATTACCAACATCCACCAACGTATTCCAACGCCTTATTATGATTAATTTACAACTTTCACCCCCCCCCCCTTCCCCTTTCATTCACTCACCTTGTCCGCGTTTGACGTTATCCACTGCCACATACCGCACCACGGGGTGGTCCGATACATACTTGGCACCCCAGTCCACCTTCGGGCCTCCCCCGGCGCCAAAGAACAGACCCAGGGCATACCGGGAGCTGAACCGAACCGAGCGGAGGCCAGAAGATAGTGCGGGGTTTGACTCTGGGGACGAATAGAGGGGGAGAGATGGGGGTAGTGCTGTTGATGGAATGAACGATGATGAGGCAGGTGTCAGACATGGAATCATATAAGATTGCCAACATTTGCCTAATTATTCATGCAAGCACACTGTATTACAAGCTATCACATTGGAAACATGATTATAAATGTTGTTGTCGAGCTAGGACGGATTCATGTTTGGCATGCAATGATTTACACACGAGCCAAGCTTTAAGTATTATCATTATATTGGGAAGCTGACGAAGAAGGCTGTAATATTCCTAAATCTCCCTATAAAAACACAAAAATAATATGTAAATAATTGTATTGTAGTAATGATTGTAATAATTGTAGGTGATATTTGGTATTGTAGTATTCTAACTTCTTTGCATGGGGCAAGTTTCATTGTCTATTCTATCCTTCACGCGGCGAGACAAGCTGGTAAATGTCAAGTTTAAGTCCTAAGAAGATTTCATTGATAAATTTTTCATATTTTTACATTATTTGACATCCTGAATTCAAAAATGATACTCATATGTCTCGCAAATAAAAGAAAAAAACATAATCAAACCTGACCTAACCTTACCTACTTACCTATAACCTACCAACCTACAACCTACAACCTACCCTAACCTAACCTAACCTACAAACCTACCTACCTACAACCTAAAACCTACAAACCTACAACCTAACCTAACCTAAAACCTAAAATTTTTGCTGTTTCATATTCGTATCAACAGCGTCACAATTGTAGTTAGGACCTAAACTTGACATATACCGACAAGCTCTGTACAACAAGCTCAAAGAAAACATCTTTATCCTTCACGCGGCGAGACAAGCTCTGTACAACAAGCTCAAAGACCTTACAACCAAAAGACCATGCAACCTTACGAGGTAATAACGACTAATTCCCTACTCAAGGCCCTATACTGCTACTTACCCATAAGCGTAACTTTATATCTCTTTGTGGGTGCTCAAGCACCCCCAATCCTGAGCTCAGCACCCCCTGCCTTCTTAAAGCACCCCCAGCCTCCTCAAAACATTCCCAGCTGACTCAAGGCCCTCAATAATCAGAATGTCCATCTCCTAGTACTGTAATGAGCCCAGTGAATCATGCAAATACTATGCTACATACATACATACATACATACATAAAGGTTTATTTGACCACGTGACAGTCAACGACTGGTAAAAAGGCCGTACATGAGGCGAGCTGTGCAATGGTGGCACCACATGAAGAAGTGAAAAGCATCACAAAAATTAAAAACACAGTGCATTTCAAAAGAGCTCCGAACATATCTACGTGGGGATCACATCTTGTTCATTAGATCTTAGATCTATGAGTACAGGCACAGTGGACTTTTTGTACCGCTCAGTTTTGGCCCGCGGTACGACAAACTTTCGCTGCCGGCGCAGAGGGCGCCTCACATTTGCCAGCTGCTCGCCCGGGTACAGTGGGTGGGCGGGGTTGGCGAGGATGTCGGCCGCCAGCTTGCAGAGGACAGAATCGCGACGCTCGCTCAGAGTCTCGAGGTTGAGGAGCTGGCAGGCAGAGGCGTAGTCGGTGTAGTTTTCGTATCCTATCATGATTTTGCAAGCTCTTTTCTGAACTTGCTCGATTGCTTGTGCTTGTTGCTGTGTCAGTCCCGTGTGCCACAGTTGAGAGCAGTATTCCAGACATGGACGAATGAAGCTGATGTAGACGGCGCGGATATCGCTCAGATCTGCATGGAACTGACGGAGGACTGTGAGCATGAACAGCCTGCGAGAGGCGTTTTTTGTGATATGATTTGTATTTGCCGTCCACTTTAGGTCAGAAGTAATATGGACTCCGAGAAGTTTCATGGTAGAGACGACAGGTACTGGTTCGTTGTTAATGATTACTGCGCCGTCCATATCCGTGTTGTGAGAGAAGTTGCAGATGAGTATATGACACTTTTTTTCCGTTGATCTTCATGAGATTGTTCTCTGACCATGTTTCCAGAGTGGATGCGGCCGTCTGGGCTTTCTGAAGGACAATGTTTGCATCTCTTGCAGGAGACAGGATGCCGATACTGAGGTCGTCCACATACTTCCATCGATGATCTTCGGTAACTGCACAGTCATTTATATGAGCCAAAAATGCAATCGGGGCGATTTTTGTCCCTTGGGGCGTTCCACACGTGGTAGTGAGCTCTGATGAGACAGGATTCGAGCCACCAAGTCGAACGACCTGTTTCCGCTCGTTGAGGAAGCTGGCTACTGTAGGCACGATGGAGGGACGAACTTGCTGGTCCAGTAGTTTCCTGAGCACGACATCATGGCTAACCAGGTCGAAGGCCTTGGAAAAATCGATCGCCAGGATGGCCGCAGCGTTTGAAGAGCTGTCTGTGTTCTTAGCCAGGAAGTCATATAGCGAGATCAGGTAATGTACCGTAGAGTAGCCTGGCCTGTTTCCGAACTGGTGTGGGTCAAGTGATGGGGTAATGTCAGCCATGATCCAGGTTGTCAAAAATCCTTCAAAGATTTTGGAGAAGAGCGGGGTGAGTGAAATGGGTCTAAGATCGTTGAAAGAGGTTGGAGGGTTGACCTTGGGAATGGGGGTGATGAAGGATAGCTTCCAAGCAGACGGAAATTTTCCGGAGGATAGCGAGGAGTTGAAGATGTGAGTGAGTGGCTGCGATAATTCGAAGGCAAACTCCTTGACCAGCCGTGCTGGTAGCTCATTCGGTGTGGTGGAGATGTTGGAGCGGATGCTGCTCAGTTCCCTCTGGACGTCAGCTCGTCGGATGACCGGTGGGGGTGCGTCCGCCGGCAGGTAGGCAGGGAATTCCTCCAGGTTGAGTGCCGGCAGCTGGGATGAGATAGATGCGAAGTGCTGGTTGACCGCTTCCGCCAGCGCCCCACCAGTCTCATACTCAGCGAAGTTTAGCTGTTCGTTCTTTACTCGGCCGGTCAGACTCTTGATTTGACGGTACCAAGTAGCCGGCTTTGCTGTCCTCAATCCTCGTATTTTCCTGTCGTAGAATTCCGCCTTGGCTTTGCGGCACAGATGAGTGGCCTTATTTCGTAGATGTCGCCACCGGTCGGACATGCCCTCGAGTCGGAAAACTCTGTGCTTCTGGGCAATGGCGTGTCGGACGGTGGCGGTGATGTGAGGCTTCCCTCGATGTCGCACTGGCAATGTCTTGGTAGGCAGAAACCGGTCTAGAGCAGTGGAGAGCGTTGACTGCAGCACCGCCACCTGTTCATCGGGGGAAGACGCCTCATATACGGGGGTCCAGTCATGTGCTGTGATCCACCTGCCGAATGCTCTAACTCCCGAGTCCGGCAGCATTCGCACGGTCGTTCGTTCCCTCGGTGTCGGCTGGATGGTGCGCGGTCGAGCGTGCACGATGACGTGCTTGGAGCGCCCGAGGGGCGACAGCATCACAGGCTCGTGATAATAGTCACCCAGATCGGTCAGGATGAGGTCCAGAACTGAGTCCCCGTGCGTGGGGGCTGTTACAATTTGATGCAAACCATTGAGCCGGCAGAGGGACTCAACTGGAAAGCTGTTGAAATCACCGCAGATGATAAATCGAGGGCAGTCATACAGGGTACGGAGCTCATCAATGGCGAACTGAAGGTGCTCCTCGTATTTCACTCGCAGCTCTGCACACGAGCCTGGTGGGAAGTAGACTGTGGCGATGCAGATATTAGATGAACCTGCCGGAAGGTGTTTAGGCCGTAATTGAAGCCATATCACTTCAACGTCTTCCTCAGAGGGTTGGAGGCTATTCAGTAGCTTCACTGGAATGGACTGTCTGACGTAGCAGCCGACGCCACCTCCCCGACGATGCAGTCTGGGTCGCTGAAAGAAGCTGAAGCCGGGGAAATTTGCCTTGTCCTGAGCGACCTGCCAGACTTCCGAGATGCAGACAACGTCAGGGGCATACTCCAGTATGTTCGCGTATAGCTCGTCCAATTTATTGTTGAGTGACGTGGGGTTGGTCAGGAAGATGGCAGGTGCTAGCTGTTTCCCTGATCCCAGTACCCTGCGAGTCTCCGCGATGCTGAGTCGGGCTGGGACCGTGATCGTTCGCTGTTGGTATCCTGCATCTCTAATGGCGATGGGACGGGGCCGCCGGTTAGATCCACAAATGGCACGGATTGGCTGATGTGAGCGGCGGACCAAATGTGTCAGGCGCGCTGGGAGACTGCTTCGGATGGTCTGGGCGATTTTGCTATTCGCACCACCCCTCACCCTCTCACGCACCGCTAGAAGGTAAGCCCGGTCGTACGTGTTGTCAGCTGGCTTTCCACTGATGTATGAATGACCGATGCTTAGAGTGTGCCGGGGCAGACATCGGTTGGTTTCACCACGTGAAGGGTGGCGCTCTACACGGCGGGACCCACTGGCCCCAACGCCTTCCTGCCGGCTGCTGTCCGCTGGCAGGCCCGGCCCATCCCGGGGTTCAGCCGTCCGGTCTCGTCCTGCATGGGCGGGTCCGGGGCTGCCTGTTAGGGGGATCAGGACACGGCCGCGGCTCGGGCGCCGCTCGTACTCTATGGCACGTCTGCGGCGCGCCTGGACGTGGCGGCCGGCCCGTCTCCCCCTGCAGTGCTGCCTTACTCCGCCGCTGGGCGGGAGATTAATGGGTCTGTCCATGAGGGTTTCGCCACTGGTCCGAGTGTCCGACGACCGTCGGAGTCGACGACGGTGAAACGTGCAGCGCGTGAGGCGGTAGATGACGACCGAGCCGTGTGATTGGCTGGTGGAGCTCTTCTAAAACCGGTAGAATTTTGGTCGAACGAAACGAGGGCCATGGCATAGGCCTTCGGTGGTCTTGAAGAGTAAAAACAAACTTGAATATTATTCGCAAGCCCACTATGCTTACTCAATTCAGTGACTAAGAGAATATACATTGAATAAATCACCACAAATTAAGATGCATGATATTTGTGTTAACATTACATCTGATATTACCAGTAAAACGCCTTCTGGGCGAAGAACGAGCGAGCGAGATAGTGAGCCCTGCACGTGCGGAAAGGCGAGAGGGTACTTCCAACGGGCTTGCGCAAAGCACCCTTCTAACCGGTCGCTAGCGGTGTACCAAATTTGAACGCAATCGGCCCAGCCGTTCCTGAGATCTGAAAGCGGCATTCTGCACGTGCGCACGTGCAAACGGGGTCCAAACTGACTTTTGCACGGCACCCTACTAACTGGTCCCCAACCGTGTACCAAATTTAAGCGCAATCGGCCCAGCCGTTCTCGAGATCTGGAAGCGCCCCCTGCACGTGCGCACGTGCAGTAGCACCTTAACCGCAACACATGGGAATACATTGCCTGGTGGGTGCCTACCTGTATGCCAATTGTTTCAGCGAAATCGCCCCAGTAATTACCGAGTTATTAAAATGGGAACAAATTTGACACCTCTCGTTGTTGTATTTTGCACGTGCACTGGGGGTGACCCACATGCATCGGGAGTATCCTATTTTTGATAGAAGGGATGCTGCTACCCTACAAAAATTACCGCAAATCAATCGCCCAAGCGGCCGCTGAAATATGAGCCTCTCAAAATCACTACTTTTGCAAAACAGCTTGAACACCTTTGACTTTTCACGTGGCACGTGCCACGACGGTCACTGAGATGCATCAAAAGTAGTCAATTACGGGGTAGAAGGGATGGGGCTACCCAGCAAAAAAGACCGCAGGCCAATCGGTTCAGCGGTTGCTGAGATATAAGCCTCTCAAAAGCGTTACAGGCCGGGCCGGGCTGGGCCGCTCATACTGAGATTTTTCCGTTATATTGAAAAGACTCGCTTCGCTCGCTGCGCTCGCTCGCTCGTAATCAGGGGCCCGGGAACGATTTTCAAGTTTGGGGGGGGGGCGAGCCTAAAATACCTGACATGATGCATATGAAACAGTGGCATAGCTAGGGGTCTAAGGGGACACGCACCCCCTCCCCCCATCGGGCTCAAAGGGACCCTCGGGTCCGAGAGGCCCTGCGGCGCCATTTGACCGCTGAGGGTTATGGCCATATTTCTACTTAGAAGGGCCCCGTGGGGCTCGTTAGAGCACCTCATGGGCCCTAAATAGCCACACTAAGGTCTCCATAAGGGCCCCACGCCGACTTCTGAGGGCCTCTTGCGGCTTTTAAGGACACCTCGGTGGTCTCCAAAGGCCCGTTACTGGCCTCTGAGAGGTCTTACCGGCCTATGAGGGGATAGTTCTAGGGGCATTTCCCACCTGTGATGGTCCCACACTTATTTTTCTGAGGGCCCCATAACGGCAACTATGGGGCCCTCGTCGGTGCCTATGAGGGCCCACACCGGTGTGTCTGAGGGTTTCACACCCCCAACTCCGAGTGCCTACACCAGTGCCTATTAAAGCCAGTGCCTATCGGCGGCTCTGAGGACCCACCCAACACCTGCGCATATAAAGGCCACCCACTGATGACTTGAGGGCCCCACAACGGTGACCCTGAGGGCCCCACCGGCGTCTGACAGTACCATGCCGGTCTCTAGGACCCCGCAGGACTTCTTCTGCCGGCCTAAGCCTAAGGACCCCTTGCTGGTCACTGAGACCCCCTGCCGACTTGTAGACAGTTCGCGTCAGCAGCTCTAAAGGCCCCACACCCGTCTGTAACGGCTCTACACCAGCGTCTATGAGGGCCCGGAGCAACGCCTGTAAGGACCCTCATCGGCGCCTCTGAGAGAATCACACTAGCACCTCTGATCGCCCACACCGGCACCTGCATGGCGGCCCCACACCGGTGCCTCCCTTACCGGCGGCTCTGAGGGCCCTACGCCGGTGATTCTGAGGGTGCCACCGATAAATGAAGGCACCACACAAGCCCTTAGTGTAGCTGAGCTTTAATCTCATACCGGCCCTCCGAGGGCGCCACGTCAGTGCACTCATTGTCCCACACCCCTCCCTCACACCCGGAGCGGGTAAACTGTGTTATACCTATAGCAACGATTTTACCAGCGTTGTACGTTATGTATTTCTCAAAGTTGACTCAAAATGGTCCAGTACAAAATCTGGCCTGCCAAACTTATGGCCAAGGTCAGGCCCAAACACGTTTTGGGCAATCAGTCTCAGTCCATGACTCCATTCTTCGGCAACTACGGTGCAAGGCCGATACTGTAGAAACTTGCAATTTGTACCCTTGACCTGACCTTGACCTTCACCTCAAACTTTAAATTAAGTACATGTTTTTAGTTATTCGTGATGAGATCTTTCGATTGGCGCTAGAATTTTCCAAATCCGACCATTAGTTCGGGAGATAACAGGGGGTAAAATTTACCCCCCCCCCCCCAGCCCCGCGCGTTCGGCTGGAGACCCCAGCCCCCCATTGGGTGAGCCAAAATTGTTTTACAGTGGCGCTATTAAAACAAGCTCTCGAACCGATTTAACATCATTTCTTGCATGATGCCTGATGGTTACAGTAAAAAAAGAACAGCTAAAAAAAACTACAAAAACTATGGCATGCCTTTCTGAAAGTTATTGAGCACCCCCAATGATTTTTGGAAAACTACACCCATGTACTTACCGATATCCTTCTTCAGCGTTCCTCCAAGCTCGAGAATTTGCGGCGGCGGCATTGTGAGAAGAATGGCGTCAAACGACTCAGTCCGGCCGGTTTCCGTGGTAACGACGCACTGCGCGCCATCTGTTGACACCTACCAAAAACGCAGCTTCAGAAATCAGCCGCAATGGGGCCTAGCGGGTGGTAGTAGACAGTAGTGTCGAACGGCATTGCCAAGGCCCTAGGCATTGCCAGAAACGCAGGTTCAGCTTATGGGTGACCGTGAGTCATTCCGTAAACTTGGCTACAGTAACGGTGGAACACCTTCAATTAAGGGGGGCACTACCGACTTAATTTGGTCCCGTTCCTTCCATGCAACGCCCATTGGGCGAATGTTAACCCTCGCCCTGGCAGGGGGGGGGGTCGATGCGACCCCCCCCCTAAGGTTTTTCGGAGATAGCGTAAAAACGGCGGCGCGCAGCGCCGCCAAATTTGGCACAGCCTATGGGGCAACCTTTTTACATATGACCTGAAAATTTCAGGTCCGGGTGACCTTGGGTCAGGTCACCAGGTCAGAAAAACCGGTACAAGGTCATGGTCAAATTTCAATTTTCTTTTTGCACCTGTCCAACTCACAGTTTTGCACTGATTTCCTTCAAACTTTCAGGATGTGCTAAGTTCACCGAGTTGTATAACATATAGTTCGGGTTTTTTGAGGTCACTGACCTGAGGTCAGTTAGAGGTCATTACGTCGTAATGTTAAGCCTATGGGAAAATACTAAATTCGGAAAATACTGGAGATATCCGCTTCGTTCTATCACCTTTGTGCTTTGAAACCACAGTACTTAACAGCAGGTCACTTGGTGCTTCTTTGTTTGGTGTACTTATCCATGGGTCAGGTCAAATGAGGTCAACTGAGGTCAAATGACGTTTTTGCCAATAACTTGGCATATAATGACGCTAGAGCTTAAAAAATGGTATCATTGTGTTCCTGGTGATCAGCCGAATCGAATGATATGCGATATGATGCAATTTGGTTAACTTTAACTTAATTTATTCATTTAAGTTTACTTAAAATTTAAGAAAAACTTTAAGTACACTTAAGCAAGCTAAAAAGTATATCATTCGACGCGCCTTGACGCGCTGAGTTCACTGGTGCTTTTCTTTTTGCTCTATCTTAATTAGATCAAAAGTTATAAGCGAAAAACTTTTGACCTGTTTTTAGCGAAATTTTTGCATTTATACCCCCCAAAACCCCGCTAAATATTGACCTAGAGCAACCAAATTTGCACAGGGGCGAGAACTCCAGGGGGCCCACCTACCTACCAAATTTGGTGTTTCTAGGTGCCATAGGAGCCAATCGCGAGGGGGGGGGGTCGCATCGACCCCCCCCCCCCCTGCCAAGCCGTGTTATGAAAAATGCCCTGCCAGGGCGAGGGTTAAAATGGCACGGGGGGGGGGGCACAATCAAGTCAAAATCAAGGGGGCACGGTGCCCCCCCCCCCGTTCCCCCGCCTATGCTTGGCTATGACCTTGCAACCCTAGTGCTCAAACAAAAGGAACCAGCATCCTGCAATATCTGTTTTGCAATCTCTGCAAATACAATTCTGGCTCGAGTGGCATAAGCTCTCAGCAGCTCTTAGCTTGACTATCTAGTTACTTTTAGCTGACACGCCCAGCCATAATCCTGTACCTTTAGCACTCGCGACCTGCTATTATAATCTCACCAAGCCTCAGGTTCTTGCCCCACTAATTTCACTTCTGGTTCTAAAAGCACTCCTGATCTGCCCCTACCTTTTCAGTACAATCATTCGAATTTTGCCAATACCGCCGACCTTACTTCCAACGTTGCTTCTAAATCTCAAATGTTGGTACAATTTTTAATACCTATAAATTTAGTTCGAATGTTTGAATGGACGGATTGACAGAGCGGGGTCTCTGTCTGAGACCCGACTCATACCGTCCGATCGCGCAATTCTGGGTAACGGGAGAATTTGGATGCCAAAGTTTAACGTGCCCTTCAAAGCCGGACACGGCCTGCCCCACTCAACTGACTTCAACTGGCTGCGGCTGCTCCCACTAACCGCAGACCATCCCGTCAGGAGTCTCAAAGATCGGAGCGTCTCGAACCCGGGCTCTCACTACCGGGAGTCCACTGTTCTACCAACTGAGCTACTTAGGTCGGCTTTCTCTATTTCTCACTTCTCTCGCCTATTGTCCCATTGGTGATCTCATACTATACGCGACAATTCTCACTACTTCTCGCTACTCATAAACTCGCCAGTCACCAGCCCTCTCACCCCTATCTTTTTCATTCTCACCTCAGTCACCCGTTGATTAAACTCTGGTGTGACCTCGGCCCTGCTGAAGAAGTGTTTCACTAGGGCGCTGGTACCACGGGGAGTGACCAGGTGTTGGCTACCGGCCGGCGCCGGGCGGAGACCCTGTACGGTGGTTGTCAGAGGCGCCAACAGGCCTGCTAACTGTAGCTCGGAGTAGAATCTGCAAACGGGTTAGGAGAGATGGTAATTGGGCGTCACTTTTTTAGTCACGAATGCCTTGAAATCAATTATCCTAGGACCTAGAGGGACGCAATTATTTTGTGTTATGGCGGGGAGCGAGTAAATGAAAGTTGAGTCGAGTAGCGTCCATGTCACCAGCCAAGTTGCTGGGAAGTGGGACGGTGCTATAAAATCAGTGGTAATCGGTCTACACGACAATATTGAGCATCATTCATTGACTAGCGAGAGAAAATCGCGGAACAGAACATCACAGACTGAAAGGTAGCTCGCGAGTGAAAGAGGCTCGATGCCATCTTGCATAACGCGCACCGACGGGGGGGGGCGGATATCTGCCCCCCCCCCCCTGAGGTTTTTCGCGAATAGCGGGAAAAACGCGGCGCGTAGCGCCGCGAAATTTGGTACCACTATTCTCTCATCAATTTTACACATGGTGTGCAAGTTTGAACCTCCTAACTTTTAAGATAAGGTCACCAGGTCACTTTGAATGACCCAATCTCAAGTCACTTTTTTGCAACTTAGTCACCGTGCCAGAGCTACAGTAGATGTCGGAGGCCTTTGAAAGTCGCAGGATGTTATAAGGTCATTAGTAGCTACAATTTGTTTATCTCAGAATTTTGATATCGGTGACCTAAGGTCAGGTCAATTTCTCGACCTCCCCATTATAAGTCAATGGGGGAAAAATCAACTCCCTGTTTTTACCACTAAAACGGGTCGGAATGGCCCCATATGACATGACTTCATATACGATCAACCTTCACTACCTTGAGGTCTGTTTTGCTGTTGGGCAGCTGTAAGGTCATATGACGTCATCAAAGGTCACCAAAGGTTTTTTTGCCAATAACTCCGTACAGGAACAAGATACAGCCGCGCGGATGGTCTCATTGTGTTCAGCTCGTCAAGACGCATCGAATGATATACATGATGACCTCGAGGTCACGTGACCTGAGGTCAACCTTTGACCTTGATCTTTCGAGGTCAACATACAGGGTGTCCAGAAAAAACGGATACTATTATTTTTTGCTGTAATTCCGAAAATAAACACCGCACATTTTAAAATGGCACATGCTTGTATTCGCAAAAATATGGCAAAACAGACAGCATGTGCCACATGGCATGTAAACCCTTTGGTTAGTCGCGGCAGCTCCTCAAAGCAGATACTCAATGTGAGCGGCCTTCCGGCGGATCAGCTCCAGCACCAGCACGGTCGGCAGGTGACTGATGGTCATGTTGACCCTCTCGGAGGGCAGGCAGACAACTTTCCAACGACGCATTACAGTGCTCATGAGTTTTGCCAAATCTTGCACTATAAGCACATGAAGTTGAAAAAAAATCGGCACGTGCGTTAATAAATGCGACTTAATTTCCGTAGTATCTTTTTTTTCTGGACACCCTGTATATATCATTCGATGCGGATTGACGAGAGGATCACGATAATGCCCTTAGTTTGTTCCTATCTTGACTAATCCGTCGGTACTAAGTTGGCGCAGACCCCCGTCGGTGCGCGTGTTAACTAATGAAGCATGCGCAAAACAACAAAGGGGCCCAGCAAGCCACACAGGCACAGCACATAATAGATACCGATTTACCACAAAAAGTAGCATGCATGTGACCATAGGCGCGGGAGCCGGGGGGGGGGGCAGTGGGGGCAGCTTGCCCCCCCCCCCAACTCTGGGGCCGTGGGGGCGGTGCCCCCACAGCTTTGAGACGGAATACCACACTTTTTTTGCAAATGTTTTTTCTTTTTTTTGTTGAAAAAGCCGAGGGGTGAAAAATAAGTGGCCTAAAACCGGTGAGAAAACTAGATTTGGGGGTACCCTAGGTTGATCTCTATTATGGTGTGCCCCCCCCCCCCCAGTCGGAAAGTAGTTCCCGCGCCCCTGCATGTGACAAAGCCTTTCCTAATTCACACTCACTTGTTGTGAAGCTGCTGGAACTGTGGTGTCACAGTGATGTACTGTGCTCCAAGGTCCACGGTGCCACAGCCCTCTGGGCCGCGGGAGGTCGACATACGACCGCCTGAGGGCACAGACAGGTCAGATAGAGGGATCATAGGGTTACATATAGTGCCACCGCCCCCCCCCCCCCTTCCCGCCGCGAGAGGTCGACCATACGACCGCCTGAGGGCACAGAGAGGTCAGATTTGGAGCGGCACCGCTGCTCCCGAGGGAGCGCACCCCGTAGCCGGGTGCAGTGAGTGCCTTGGGGCTGGGTGGCCTGTCCTCTGGACGGGCTCAGCCCCGGCGACTCACTAGGGTGCCTGCCCAGACCAATGTCTCCCCCTATATCTTATCATCCTCCCGGCTCTGAAATGGTCTTGCCAGACCGAAAGGGCCTAACCCAACAAAACAAAACAAAACAAACAAACCTGTGTCAAAGAAGAGATGGAGAGACACTCGTTTCTTTTCTCGCTTCATCTGCTCAATCCTTCACTCACTCAGTTGCTCATCCTGTCATTCACTCTATTGACTCGACATTGAAACTCCCTCAGACACTTTAATTCACCTAATCATGGCTGTGCAGATAGCTACTTGCACCATGAGCTATGCACTGCACATCAGCTGCACGCCTAACCAACCTGTTACATCTATCAAGTACCAACTGACCCAAAACACTGGCCTGCAAAAAAAAAAAACTAGCCGACCTGTTTGAACCATTCCTATGCCCCCGCCCCAGTGACATGACATGTACCCCAGTGAACAATATGAACCCTTGGCCTAGCTTCCACCCCACTCCTACCAGCCGGTGCCCCCACTCACTGACCTGCGCCCCGTGCCTTATCCCACACCGTCAGTTGACATCTGCTGCCCAGCTCCTCTCGGAGCAGGGATGACGTCACTGCGGACGTCAGTCCGCCGCCCACCACCAACACACGTGGAGTCATGACCTGGCGAGAAAACGTGTGGGGCACAAGTAAATGGGTGGTGATCACAATCATATCATACTATGATAGTTAGAAGTCAGGCGTGGATAGGGGTGGAATCTGAAAACAGGGGGCCTTGGTAACAAGTGGATTCAGTCAGCGACGTACGATAGCTCCTATGCTTTCAAAAATAAAAGCACGGTAACAGATGGATATAAACACAAAAATGGCACTAACAGAGAAATAAATAGATATATATATATATATATATATATATATATATATATATATATTATATATATATAATATATATATATATATATATATATATATATATATATATATATATATATACTCAACTACCACTGGTGACGTCGTAACACGTTACAAAGGCACTAAAACTACTTCTTAAATGTTCAAATGGATGCCAAATTCGAAATAAGCCCGAAAAACTGCTCTAGAAACATGTATAACTCGGAAAAGTGAAACGAGGTCATCATAGGTCAATGAACTGACCTGACCTTCAGGTGACCTTGACACCCACCGTAATGCATGGGGCGAACATCATTTCACATTTGGACGTTTATAATCGTAAAAAAGACTAGAAACGCGCGGATAATGAGAGCTGACATACGCTGAATCGCGACTCCGGCCAAACATGGTCTCGAGAAATAGGTCACAGGTCAAAGGTCATTAGGGTCAGGGTCATGAAATTTTCAGAGTAGGTATCAAATTGATCAACTCGAGGGTACTGAAAGTTTCGTTGCGATCGGCCGCTTTTTACGTGAGTTATTTGCGAAAACCCATGGGGGTCCATCCGACCCCCTACACATACGAGGGCTAATATGCATTGAGCCACCAAAAAGCATCCGCCGATTTCGCTCTTTTTGCTCTTTTTCCACGTTTCTAGACGAATGGCATCATTTGAGGGGGCGCAAGCGCGAAAAAATACAAATTAAAATTTTGTATGGAAATAAGGACCACCCTAATATATATATATATATATATATATATATATATATATATATATATATATATATATATATATTTAGCCTTTTATATCTAGCATTGATATTTACTAAGCACTGCTAGCGCACCGGCGGCAAGCCGGCGAATAATCCAGTTAGTACTGCGGCCCAAAACAGGACGCCTGGGGCGATTTGATTAAGGATTTTAAATTCGCTTGATCTTATCACATGACAATCAGCCTGTTAAAGGCACCAAGAGGGGAAGAATATCCCAATAATCAAATGACTAAAAAATGCCCTTCAGCGCCGTTTTCAGACTCCACCATGGATATGTAGGGTGTGGTGTTAAGTGTGAACTGTGAGTGATGTGATGCATAAAATGTTTGTCTTACTCAGTCCTGAGAAATACAGGGCCCTGTTTCACCGGTGATAGCAGCACGCTGCTATCAAATTGCGCGAGCTGACGTAATGTGATGACGTCACACTTATGACGTTTCGTGTAATCCGTGAGCTTTTTCATAGCTACGTTTGGAACAGAGTTGCTGTCTCCTTGAATGCGTTTGATACATTTGTTTGATCGCACGGCCGTGAAGATGTTAGCAGCAATATTTGATGACATCACACAGTTTGACGACTCCATGGTTTATTGATGTTTCCATGGAAACCCAATTTGACACGTGTAATAGCAGCGTGCTGCTATCACCAGTGAAACAGAGCCCTGGAATGTGACTCATACCGAAAGAGAAATTAGATGCCGCAGGGGCGCAGGGCTTTCTCTCCAAGCTCCAAAGCCAGACTGGAAAACATCCATACACAACGCTGGACGCCCGTGAGACTCTCTTGCGCCGAAATTCGGCTTTTGCGCTGAAATTAAATTTCTGTGTGATTTGCGCCAAAAGTTAGGTGCCCATTTGTGCGAAAATTAAACCCTTTTTATATAAAACACATGTGCCGGTCCCATAGCTCAGTTGGTAGAGCGTTGGACTCCGCGTGGTGAGAGCACGCGTTCCCGGTTATAACAGTCCGGGTTCGAAGCGCGACGGGCGCTTGACATTTATGGGCCTCCTGACAGGTATGGTTGCGGTTGGTGGCAGGCCGTAGCCAGGCGAAGTCAGTGAGGGGACCGGCCGTGCGCGGCTATGTGCGCACGTTAAACTTTGGACTCTAAATTCTGCCATAGAACCGGAATTGCGCGATCGGAGGGTTGAGGGCAGGGTCACCGCAACAAGCTTCGCTTAGCGGTGGCTCTGTCCTTGCGAATCCTTCCTATCAAAAGGTTCGGACTAAATATATAAAAAAAAATGTGCACATCTACCCATCAAGGCTATATGAACCAGACAGATTGTTCCGGGGCCTTGTACGCTCCCCCATGTTTGACCGTCCAAATGAGTTTTTTATTTCCACGGAAACCCAATACCTCAATAGTCTTAGCGCACTCTAGCTTCATGCCGTGAAACAAAGCTGGAGCCGTGAGTTCCGGGCCACAAATTTGTACCGATGTTAATATCGGCGGAGCAGTATGTTTCAGGCTGGCGGGAGTCAGCGAGGGCCGGGCCGCGGAACAGCATGTGCTCCGGCACATCACCCTGTTCTCGGCACACGGCGCAGAGCGCCCGGCCGCGGGGCACCGCTTGTCTGGGCACTGCTGGCACGCCGCGGAGTGGAGACAGCCGATTCGGTGCCGTATTGGAGCGAGCGGCCCCATTGGCCCGCCCTCATCTGGTGCACCGAAATGGCATCCTCTCGGTCCTCTCCGGGGATAGGGAGCGGCGGCGTGCTCCCGAGGAGTGGCTTGAAATGAATAGTGATTCTGAGCAGTTGTCGCGCTCTGCGCCGCACAGTGCGATGCGAGGCCGCACAGTGAACCGCCCTGGTCAGCGAGTGGGCGTTCGAGGGCAGGCCGGCCGCGCTCCCATTCCCCTCGATACCGCAGTGGGCAAGAACCCAATGCGATATTGCTTAACGACGCTTGGCGATGTTCAACAAGGTCTTCTTTACCTATCTCCACGCCGAGGGTTGAGGCCTCACCTGGGCCCAGTTTCAGCAAGTGCGGTAAACTCAATTTGGGGTAAAACACCAAACTACCCCATTCTGTAACTGCAAAAAATAGGTACTACCCCAAAATTAAGTTAACCTAACTTGGTGAGGCTGGGCACTTGACTCAAGCTCACCAAGTTATGTAAACTTAATTTCGGGGTAGTATACTTGTAGTTATGTAGTGGGGTAGTTGGGTATTTTACTCCAAATTAAGTTTACAGCACCTGGTGAAACTGGGCCATGGGCAGCCGCTTCTCCGCTGAGATCGAGCGGCTCACGAGTTCGAGCACGCCACGACCGGGGCGGGGACGTCTCGTCCCGAAACCTCTCCAGAGCCGCCTGGGGGGCGAATCTGCTACTAGATTGAGCAGCGTACCGCATAAATTTGGTGATTGTATTTCGCCAAAAAATTATGCAACCACCCTGCGCCGAAAAATGTGTCCGCCGCCATGCGCTGAATTCGGCGCATGCGCTTTTTCCAGTCTGGCTCCAAAGTTCCTCTGATTTCCAACAAACTCTTAAAGGGACCCTCCCACCTTCAAAAAAGTTAATGAATTGGCACGAAAGTGATGTCGCTCGGTTCAGAAAGAGCGAAAACGAATATCTACCAAATTTCATCGAAAAATATTCACCGGTTTTCAAGATATTAGTCTTTTACTTTTGTTTACTTTTTGGGATCTCCACTGTTCCTAGCGACTTTATTTGAAAGTGCGGCAGTTGTTGCGCGCAAAGCAGCATATACCACCGCGTGCTACCAAATGTTTTAGTAAAAGATTTAAAAATCGTTAGATCTCCGCTGACGTCACAAATTCTAAGGGGGCATACCAATGCACTAGCCCCTTAGAATCCGAAAACTGCAAGTTTGAAATTCCATATCTCCGAATTAAAGCATTTGTCGATGTTGTGAGTGCCCAAACCGGTATTTGCAGGCCATGGCCACCAATTTGGCTATCTCAACTCAAAACTAATGTTAAGGTGGGAGTGTCCCTTTAAATGATACACTACTGACTACATATACGACACATGACGATTATTATAATCATTAAATGCTCAGGTTATGGATAATAATTAGCTAATAAAAAGAAAACTAACCGCCGCGGTGACTCCACTACTCGCCCAGCCACGCGCGCGTCAAAATTGGTGCGCAAGTAACGTAATATGCGCGCGTGTGCGCCAGTATCAAATTCAAGAAAATGCTCTTAAAACGCTGCTATGAGGGTAATGCTATACTGCAGCAGCCATTCCCCACACATGCACCGCGATAAGTGAGACGCAAATATGACCATTCCTATCGCAATAATGCATTTTAGCATCGATTTTGATTGTTGTGACCTAAGATGACCTCGGTGACCTTTAAAGGTCAACTTAACGTTTTCACTTATCGCATACACCGACCGTCGTATCACATATGAATCAGCAAGTAACCATTCGGTGGTGATCGAGATGAAAATGGTTACCTACCATTCAGGGGCGTACCCGGGCGGGGGGGGGGGGGCGGACGGTTCGCACTTCGCCCCTTCCCCCTTGGGGTTTTCAGGGCATCCGGATGGAATCAGCCAAAATCAAATCAGGGCCCCTCTGACTCCTCAGTAGAGAAAAGGCCCTCTGTAGAATGGAGGCCCCCGCGATTCCCCCCCCCCCACCCCCCGAGTCTCAGCGCTCTGTAGCTAGTGGTTGTCGACCGGTTCGGAGCATAGAGTCATTGCTCTGCTCCTGATTCCAGTTTGATTCCACGCCGCTGTGATGCATCGTGATGCTATGGATCGTATTTGGGCATTGGAGGGGTCCTCAGCCCAAGCGTCCTGATTACGCACAGGTCCACAAAAAAAGGCAGCGTGAGCCTTCATGCACTGCCTGACGGGACTTGTGTCTGTGTTGGTCAGGACCAGGAAAATACATACAAAGCGACCAAAAATACATCGTCGAGGCGGCAAAATTGCACAACTGCAGTAAAAAAAAAATAGCCGCTACGAGTGGGATATTTATTTTTATGGGTAGGTAAACGTCCGCTCACCCAACGGTGTAGTAAAACTCAGCACACGATATACAACGATCTGGCAAGGACTTCGTTGCAACTTGCATGCATTTTTACATGGGGCAGGAATGGCAGTGAAACATTCTTTATCACCTTAGTTCATTGTTAAATTTGCAATCACTTTTATAGCATACTTTAAAAGCACAAAACGCTCGATAGCCTTTGTAAGGCATCACTCAGGTATCACGCAGTTCCATTGCACATATGCTAAGAAAGTTGAACAATACGGTAATACCACAAGGTTTTCAATGGCACATTTCTTGAATGCCTAGCTCTATGGCTATACCGACGCAGTTTATGGAGAAGACGTACTAAAATAGCCGAGCTGGTGTCAAAACATAAATCGCCCACATGAGTTGATCACAACTCACAAGCGAAAATTCATGAAGAATTACTTGACGAGTAATCAACAAAAGGTATCACAGTAATGACATAACACTAACCACTTCCCGCGTAATGTGACGGGAAACCTGAAAACCCATACCTTCTAGGTAATGCGTAGTAGTCTTACCAAATACGCAGCGCTAAATAAGTCAGCAAGTACTATAAAATAAGCAACTAGCCCATTTACGCGCTTCAAGTCAGGTCATCGCAGCGTACTTCGTACTGTTCTACGCAAAGTTCTACATATTAAAAGAGCCTTTCAGGCTGTTACGTATGCACGTCTTCTGACGACAGCAATAAAGCGACATGCCGTCAATTATACAAACCGAGCATGATTGGTGTGCGCCGTATATATACGCTATCCATGCAACTCCCGCTGGCCCTGTATAAATATATCTTCCAATCCCCCAGACCTCGTTGTAAATATGTGTAAGCTCTCTCCCATCAGGCCCCTGCAATGAGTTTCAATTCGAGGAAGAGAGGTATAGACTATAGAGCTCCTTCTATCTGAGATAACACCCCCTGAGCTACCCCAAATTTGAGCCAGGCCCAGCACAGCACCCAGCCTGAGCTACTCCCAATTTGAGCTAGCACCCAGCCTGAGCCACCGTCATGCCTGAACTAACGCCCTGAAGGAGCTGCGCTCCGTCCGACCTAAGGTCCTGAATGAGCTACAGCCCCGTCCGACCTAACGCCCTGAATGAGCCATCGCCTTGCCTGAACCTACTTTTGGCTCACAGTTCAGCGTCGACGAAGATCTTGTGCAACACCACCTTTTGTGCGTCTGACAGGGGCAGCAGCGGGGGCCTCAGCGGACCCCCGTACAGACCATGCGCGTCCATGGCGGCTTTCATCCCAGGCACTCCCAATCCGCGAGTCACCGCGGCATTAGGGGCTACTAGTTTTCGCTGGAGTTTGGCCGCCTCTGTAAGGCTTCCTGAGCGCCACAGAGATTCTAGACGACAGACGGCCTCGGGGACGACATTGGCCAGCGCGCAGATACCTCCTACACAGCCTGAAAGGAGGGAGCGGTGTTAGCTGGATAGACAAACACTGCACAGCATAGAATGTCAGACATCACTGGATGGAAAACGTGGCAGGATGAGAAGGCATAAGTCATTACCTACATAATACATGGCATGGTAAAAGGTATTTATAGGAATAAGCTTACCTAGGAAAGGTGAAGGTATTGGTACTTGGTCAATCCGTCAAACACGTCAAGTTCCAGGCCAGCTGAAGCCGAAACAGGTGACAATTGCCGCAAATTTCCCAAGTCTTTCGGACTTTGCTAAGAAGCCGAAAATAATGATATTGCCATTTTAACATAACTATATCGCGAAATCAGCTGGTATCAATCAGCTGGCGCCAATCTAGGAGAACCATGGTGCAAGCACCGCACAGTGTCAATATCGACACCGATTCTATGTAAACACAAACAAAGGCTATTAAGTATCGCGGTTTAGTTTAGTTTATTAGGCTTCATATCAAAACGAATATGCGAACCATGGCTATGGAACCAGATGGCTTAGGAACGAGCGCGAAGCGAGTCTTTGCAATGCATAGGAAAATGTGAGCATTATCGCTTCAGCCCGGCCCGGCCCGGCCTGTAATGCTTTTCAGAGACAGCCGCTGGGCCGATTGACCTGCGGTCTTTTTTAAGGTAGTCCATCCTTTCTACCCCGTAACTGACTACTTGATACTTAGATAGAAAACCATCGCGGCAGGTGCCACGTGAAAAGTCCCGTTTGCTATCATTACTGGGGCGAATACATTTTGCCCCAGCCATTGTCGTCCCCCGCAAAGTCCGGGCAGTGCACTTCAACGTCCACATGTTACGGTTGCAGTGCTACTGCACGTGCGCACGTGCAAGGGGGGGGGGGGGGTCGCTTCCAGATCTCGAGAGTGGCTGGACCTATTGGGTTCATTTTTGGTACCTAGTTAAGAAACAGCAAGTAAGGTGCCGGGAAAAACTAAAACTCAGTTACTTTTTACACAGTTTGCACGTGCAGGACGCTTCCACTTCTCGAGAACGACTGGGACTTCAATTTCCCTTAAATTTGCTACACAGTTAGTGGTCGGCTGACGGTTAGTACTTGGTAGGTGGGCCCGCACAAGTTAGCGTAGGGTGCCGCGGTACACACGTCCTCGAAGATGAAATCACAAATATGCGATGGCGTCAATGTCGCGCGACTCACCGACTAGCAGAGCCGGCAGCAGGAACCCAGCCGAGCCGGCTAGCACCTGGAACTGTTCGTCTTTGGTGGTCTCCACTAGCTGAGCCAGCTTGCTGATCTGTCGAACAGGGGTAGTAGTACAGTGAGAGGGTAGCCAGGGGACTACGCTGCGGTTTTATATTTTCTCATCGTAGTTAAGATCCAGTTAGGAGTCACGTAACAGCAAGCTATGCTGAAAAAGCTACCAGAATGCCAGAGATGTATTTAAATTTTAACCAAAACCAAATCAACACTTGATACCCAGCTTACAAACAAAAACGTGCATAAACAATACACAATTTGCAATGGTGTCGCCATCCCGCCACGGGAGCTCTAGTGGCAGTTACTCACATCTCCTAGGCTATCCTTTATGCCGATGATGTTGGGGTGCGGCGCCAGTTGAGTGACCGCCTCCACGCTCAGATTTATACCCGTGTTGGCGGGCACGCTGTATAGAATCACAGGCACGGGGCTGGCATCGGCCACTGCAGTGTAGTGGGCAACCATCGCCGCGTCCTGGAAACGTAGGGATGTTATTGAATGTCATGGTACCATGTTGTCGCACGCCGTCGTACGTACATAGTACGATGTTATTGAGTGTCATCAAAACAGAGTAGGGTAAACGTCCTACAAACATCGCACCATCATGAAAACGTGAAGTGTTACGTACTGTCTCTCCTCCGAACACTGTACAGTGTACAGTGTCATTAAGCGTCCTTCTAAGCAAACAGGGAACACATTACTGGACGAGCTGCGTGTACTGTAGTGTTCAGCATCATCATTTTTACTACACACGCTATGCACTATCACCGGATGGTCTACAAACACTATGACCAAACACAAATAGCTAGTTCGTCTCGTCCATATCCTTCACTGCTAGCATTCAGCCTCTCCCTTGCTCTCCCCCAATCTATAAGTATCTCGAAAACACCACTCATCTTCCCTTACGTTCATCGACGCCTTGTAGTAGCAGGGCGTAACAACGACAAGCGCATCAGCGCCGGCCTCTGCCATCTGCTGCGACAGCTCCACGGTTTCCGCAGTCGACTCGCATCCCGAGCCGGCCAGGAGCAGTCGACCGTCCGTGACCAGGGGGCGGACCCGGCGTACCAGCTCCACACGCTCAGAGGGGGTCAGGTAGATGTATTCGCCGTTACTGCCCTGCACCAGGTATCCTGTGGGGGGGAGGAGGGGGGGGGGTACTGTTCTTTATCAGGCACCCAGGAGGGGGAAATGCCCTGCAACAAGCATCCTGTGGGGAGAGGGAAAGAGTTACTGTTCTTTACCAGATACCTTTTAGAGAGGGGAGACTATCAATATCTTTAAGAGGTACCCTGGAAAGAAGGGAAAGGGTTACTTACTCCTCTAGGTGGTTGGCTAAAACAACTAAAAACTTAATTAAGTCAAGTAGGTATAAATCATGCCATGTACCTATGTGATAGGTGCATACCATTAGCCTCACTTACCTCTAAGTGGTGATTGCTGATAGACCTTCATGTTTTCTGCAAGTTTTTCATAGTTAATGTCAAATTTGCCATCATCTGTGAAGGGTGTGCAAATTGGTGGATAAATGCCTTTAAGGTCCAGCTGATGAAGCCGCACTGACTTGCTTATACTCCTCACAAACTGCCTCTGCATAACTGATGAGGCAGCCAAAAATCTTCTAGCAAACATGGTTCTTCTGTGTGTTTAGCTGAAAAGGAAGATGTATATAATTTGTGATGTTCTCATGTACACAGAGCTGGCAAAGGACATAAAGTTTCCTGTTCCAAAATGTATCTCTTACCAAGTCTGAATGGTTTACCACACCCACATACCATGGTAGCTATTTGGTGACTTGAGCTCCTACTCAGGTCACCTATTGCATCAGCATACCTACCAGCTTCCTCAAGAGCCTGCTAGGCATACAAGAGTACATACACACATGACACAGATGATGGTCCATGGTTGGTGAAGCAGCTAGAGTTTTCATTTAACCTTTTGTGCTATATTTAAACCTTTCAATTATATCTCAATGGTAGGAAGACTGGCAACAACCAGCAGATCTGGGTATTTACTCAGGAAACTTGATGAGCATGTAGCAATCAACCATGGGGGATGTCCCATCTGACCATCCATGAGCACTATCAACCATGGGGGATGCCCACCATCTGACTACCCACATCAGCATCACCTGATTCACTAGTACCTATGAATTTAGTGATTAATCATGACTCTGAGCCTGATTGCAGATTGAGATATGCAAGAAAATGATTTTTTCAGGTTCCAGCATGGTCCTTTCTCACCAGTTCACAGCTGGCCTGAATAAAACTCACTCTGAGAATGTAGCCTTGGTGCAAAACTATATAAATACTTAATCAAAACCCCACTATATTGCCAGCTTGTCTCAGACATTGACAACCTGGGATTTCCCAAGCAGATCAAGAACTGTGAAACACCAGACTGGGTCCTGACAAGACCTGACAGTCCTGTAGCTCAGCTGAGAGTGTTGGACTACCAGTGATGAGAGCCTATGATTAACTCACTATAGTGCTGAACATATCACTATGAAACTTCTGACAGGGACCGTCCTGTCACCATGTTGGTGGAGAATCTGCAGATAGTTGAGGTTGGTTGAAAGGGACATGTCATGTCCTGCTTTGATGGGCACATTATACAATGGCATCTGAATCTTAAATTCTCCTGTCACCTAGAATTGTGCCAGCAGGCTGTAGGAGTCTCGGTCTACACAGCAGCCAGGCACTGCGCGGAACACAGTTGTCAATGCCTATTTACTTTCAAAACACTATGATAGCATGTTCATGCACTTGCAATTTGATTACATAGGTATCTTAGTCTATGAATGAGTGCGGTCAGGGTCAGTATCACAACTGCCACAGAGTTAACTTGATTCCTATAATATGGGCCCTGTTTCACCGGTGATAGCAGCAAGCTGCTAACGTGATAGCAGCAAGCTGCTATCACGTTTCGCGAGCTGACGTCATGTCGTGACGCCATTCTATTGTCATAATGGGTAGTTCCGGCGCACGATTGCCGCGACCTTGGCGGCGGCATTAAGTGACGTATGAGCCTAAAAGTAAGAGTTTACGCAGTCATGATAGTATATATATTTTTGATATATATTTTTTCAATATGATGTATTTAAAAGAAGTTGGGTTTAGGAAAAATTTGGACATTAACTTCGAACATTTAGCTGATGACGTAAAACAATAGCCCCGTTTACATAGGAGTTGCCAGATTCACATGCCAGCTCGATCTACTTTCAGGTGTTCGGCCTCCGCCATGTCGACAAATGCTGCGCAGCAAATACAAAATCCAGAAATGTGGTAATGGAGTGCTGGCCACCAAAAAGAAAAAGCCTGCCAAGTTTATGACGCTCTTCATGTTATGTAGTTTTGATAATAAACGACGCATGGGCTTCAAATGAATTGTATGTCGTACATTTGGGCATCATATGAGTTGAATATTGCAAAGTTTTTGCCCAACATTTTAGCATAAGACTAAGTTGTTTCAGAGGTGGAGATCTCGGGGGGGGGGGGGTCGGGGTGTCAGGACCCCCCTGAAAACGAATTACTGCTATGTAAGTCAACGGTACTGCATCCAGCCCGCCTCCATCTGCCCGGCCTGGACCCCCGCTGAAATTTTGACAGATCTCCACCCCTGAGTTGTTTCCATGAAAACGATGAAAATAAAGCTGATTGTTATGTTCGATGCACTCCTTGCGGCTTACATTTAGCGGATTGCATTTATTCATATTCTGCATTCATTTATAGAAAGATCAAATATATAACACCCCTTTTCCCGCTTACCTTCAACCTCTGAGCAGTGACATTTTCTTGATCGATTCAAAAGGCATGGAAACACCAAGCAGAAACTGAGTGCGTAAGATATTTGGTAGCAGGTATCACATACGCTCTAAATGACTTTCTAAGCAGATTCGAGAGTCAGTACCTAATTACCTCTAATCACGTTGCGCTCATTCATCAAGTCAAATACCTAAACCGATTGGTAGCGTCATCTAGGCGATCATAAGTGCCAAACTGCTAGTTGAAGACTTCTATTATAGATGGCACTGCTAGACAAGCCAGAGCTAAGCCAGAGGATTTTACCACCGCCGTGAAAAATTCCTAACCAAAGGCGCACTCCGGTCCCCTCAACATAAAACTCCCGATATTTCTCTGACCAATCAGAGTAAGCCTTGCTCGGCGCTGATTTGCTAATCAGAAAATGACGTCATTAGGGAGCCACGGCGTTCAAGCTGTTTTGTGGCGGTTCAAGTGATACACTTAGAAGTCATATTTTGATGTTTTTAGAAAAGTCTAGGATGAATGCTTTTATATTTTCAGAAAAGAACCCTTAATGTTGTTGTTGATAAACCCAACTTCGCTATTTTTGCCAATAGTAATAAGCCAGGAAATCATCTCTTGATGGGTCTTCACGCTAAATCTACCACCCCCAACTACGTCATCATCGTTCCTAAGCATGCTGTACTTGGTCATACTTCGTTGCCCAGCACTAGTTAGCCTTGATTTCCGCCAATCAGAGTGCAGAGCTGTCTGCCGAGAGACAGCAGTACTCGATATTAGTGGTGGGCCAAATACTTGTTTTCTAAGATGTTTTTCTTTCAAGCCTTTTATATCTTACTTTTGTTTATATTATATATCGTTTTATATTTTGTTTTTGTAAAGTATATCTGCATATATTGTGATTTATATAGCTTTACTTAGCTAATATGGCAAAGTGTTTACGAGGGGGTGCAGGGAGATATGGCAGCAGATATGGTGCTTGCAAATAGTCTTTGTACGCATGAAATAGTACCCTTTTTTCGAGCCGAAAATAGCCTATTTATTGCAATTTATTGATGTATTATGCCTGAATTCCGAGAAAGTGGTCTTTGTAGCATTGAATACAGTCACTTGTGTAGTTGCAAAAGGTCACTGGCCAGTTTTGTGATATCTCTAAGCCATCTAGGGAAATGTCTAAATGCTATGTAAACAGGGTTAACATTGCGGCAATCGTGCGCCAGAATTGCCCCTTACGTCAGCAGTATGACGTCATCACATTACGTCAGCTCGCGCAATTTGAGAGCAGCGTGATACAAGATTAAGCTAAATCCTGGATAACTTGTACATTTCATGCATATTGATTTATATCAATATAGGTTCACTGTAAATATCGTGTCCTGATTCGAAATATTGTGAAGAATTTCGATGCACCTGTCCTGGGTAAGAAAACAACATGAATGGCGAGTGCTATCCTATTGAAGAGGTTCCCTAAATTGCCCTAAATGCCCTAAATCAAAATACCCCCGGGCCGAATGTGGATGGAAATGTGGACTAACTTCCGGTACAAATAAACAAGTTCCCATCACGAAAGTATTCGATGATATCGCATTTTGATCAAAAGCTGACGTGTCCGGACAAAATTTCGTCTGACATTTTTTCGTCGGACAGTTTTTCGTCCGCAGATATTCGTCCGACTTTTTTTCGTCTCGCATTTTTTCGTCTGTACATTTTTTTGTCTGTGCATTTTTTCGTCTGTACATTTTTTCGTCTGTACATTTTTTCGTCCGGACATTTTTTCGTTCGTATATTTTTTCGTCTGTACATATTTTCGTCCGGACATTTTTTCGTTCAATAAATTTTACGTCTGTGCACCCAAGGTTGAGTGAAAACATAATACAATGCTATTCAACTGTGAGGCAAATGACGTCATAATAATACTCGGGGCGAAAGCAGTGCAGTGCCGAAGGCAATGCCTTAGGAGAGATTACAGGCAATGGTAAGTCAAATATTTTTAGGTTAAGTGGTTGTGTATCTGGCTTCAGGCCGAAGGCCTGAAGCCTGATGCACAACCACTTAACCTAAAAATATTTGACTTACCATTGCTTGCAATCTATTCATGCAAGTAACTTTTTCCTTATCCCCCGGTAGGCAAACATCAGTAGGTAAGGTTAGGTAAGGTTAGGTTAGGTTAGGTTAGGTTAGGTTAGGTTAGGTCAGGTTAGGTTAGGTTAGGTTAGGTTAGGTTAGGTTAGGTTAGGTTACGTTAAAATTGTGGACGAAAAAATGTCCGGACGAAAAAACGCACGTACGAAAAATATACGAACGAAAAAATGTCCGCAGGGGCGGCGCCACGAATTTTTGACTGTGGGATACTATGGTGAAAAGGGCCCATGGATAGTGAAAGGGGCCCATGGTGAAAAGGGCCCTTGCTGAGTGAAAAGGGCCCATACATTTATCATGGCGTAATATTGAAGGCACTTGCAATAGCAATCTAATAGTCGACAGTGAAAGAATGTTTGACAATAGACAGGGCCGGGGTGTGTTTTTTCTCTCTTTGTAGGTGGAACACGGAACGCAGAGCGTTAACACAAGAGTTGTTAACGACGCGTTGTGTCGAAGCCTATTCTTAATTGACTTGTCCCGCCGTTCGTTTATCCCGCGCCCTGCTGGGGAGTGTTTGAACTTTGAACACCCCTCCTTCTGCGGTTTTTCGCAAATATCTCACGTTTTTGGCACACCTTATCATACATCTTTTTCGCACATGCTGTGAAAATTTTAGCCCAAGGTCAGGTCACCAGGTCACTTCAAGTGGCCTAGTCACCTCCTAAAAAGTTTCAATGCCTGCCATAGCTATACCAAGTGACCGATCGCTTTAGTTTAAAGCTTCAAGCGATTGATAAAAGTAACAATATTTACAAAATGTATATCTCGAAATTTTGATATCAATGACCTAAGGTCAGATCACTTTTCGGGTCTCTCCATTATACCTAAGTGAATGGGAGAAAATTGAGAAGCGTCTGTTTTAGACGAACGCCATTCTAAACATTTTCAAACACTGAATTACGAGTAAACATGACACGCTGAACCGGAAAAGGCACCCGTGACCCCTCGTTTCAAGAAAGCAGCGTTGCTGGCACTCGGCCAGAGGCGGCCCCAGTAAACATGACGACGTCGGCCCGACGTCGGGCCGAGGCTCGGCCCGACGTCGGCCCAACGTCGGTTCAACTTCGGCCCGACATCGGCTGGACGTCGGATATGCCCGCATGTTCCGACGTCCAGCCGAAGTCCAGCCGACGTCGAGCCGACGTCGGGCCGAGATCGTTTGCCGAGGTTGACGAGATCGTTTGTCGTTGGACCGACGGGGCCGACGTCGGCATGTTTATTGGGACAACGCGCCAAAAACATCAACCGGCGGCGGGATTCGAGCCCCCCAGTCGCCGACGTCGGCATGTTTACTGGGACAACACGCCAAAAGCATCTGCCGGCGATGGGAGTCGAATCCCGTGTCATTCGAACGCGAGGTTAGTGCGCTACCCACTACACCACGCAGCCAGCTAACGAATTTGGTTTGTTTTGTTGGGTTATGCCCTTTCGGTCTGACAAGACCATTTCAGAGCCGGAAGGATCATAGGATGGAGACATTGGTCTTCTTGGCGAGCACCCTGGGTCCAGTTCATACAGAGTCCCTGGTCCCATTGCTATACGTGACACTTATTGGAAAGGGCGACCCCACAATGGATTCATATAGCCTCTCTTACACACCTGCACCAACGTTTCCCAAAGTGTCCCTTTGATAAGTGGCACTTTGGCAAAGTGACACTTGCCGACTGGCCTTTCTATATGAACTGGGCCCGGTCCTGGTGAGTTGCCGGGGCTGAGCCTGACCTGACCAAAGGATAGGCCGAGCAGCCCCCAAGCACTCACCGCACCCGGCTACGGGCGAGCTCGGCTTACGGGCAATCCCAAATGGGATAAAGTTCCCCGTCCAGTCCGGATCAGGGGGTTGCGGCGTGGAGGAAGATTTGAGTTTCCTGAGGATATTTTGAATACAGAAGCTCTTTATGAAACATGAAACATGTATTTTATATTATTTTAACGGTCAAAACAGCGGCCGATGTCGGTCCGACGTCGCCCCGACGTCGGCCCGACGTCGGCTGGACCTCAGCAATTGCTCTCGGTCCGACGTCGGCCCGACGTCGGCTGGACCTCGGCTGGACGTCGGAACATGCGGGCATATCCGACATCCAGCCGACATCGTGCCGAGGTTGGACCGACGTCGGGCCGACGTCGGCATGCCGATGCCGAGTTGCCGACGTCACCCCGACGTCGGCCGACGTCGGGCCGACGTCGGCATGTTTACTGGGGCCATATATTGTTTTTACAAAACAAATCAGATGCGGGACAGAACTGACCTCACGAGCGGTCATCCGCTCGCCGCATGTGGCGGCCGGCGCCTCTAGCGCCGAGTGCCGCAACTACCTATGATTATGTCTCCGAGGTCATCTCAGGTCACGAATGGTATCTAACAGTTTTTCGCTAATAACTTTTGGTAGAGGCAAGGTAGAGCGATGAAAACGCCTTAGATGTGTTTGGCTCGACGATATGGATCGACTGATATGCAGCATGACTTTTTCCGGTCAGATCATGACCTTGACCTAAAGTCAAATTTTCAAGTTGACCTTTAAGGTCAAATTATAGTTCATTCGACGCGTCTCGACGAGAGGAACACGATGCTGGCAAAAATAATGTCGTGTCTCTCTTGAGTCAAAAGTTAATGAAAAAACTTTTTTCTTAAAAAGCGACGGAGTTTTGCCCTCTGGAGGCTAAACCGTTAACCTGAGGTCAAATCTGAGAACATTATTCAGAAAGGCCTGTAAAAGAATTATCGATTGCGCTTTTCCGCGGCGTTGTAGCTCTATTGGTTCCTGAGTTGTCCGTTGGCAGTTTCGAAAAATGTCGAAAGAGCAAAATTTGACATTTGATGACCTCTGGTGAGCTGACCTTTGACCTGACCTAAAAAAGTATTTTCATCATCGTTTTTGACGTTCTTTAGAATGCCGCTTACCGCATGTCGCTACGTGGCCCAGGGGCCGAGTTAGAGGGGGGTCAAACACGCCCCAGCAGGGCGTGGAAATCCAGAACCCCAGCGGGGCGCGGCCGC